TGAAAATTGGGGACCAAGAATCCATAGAGAGGAGACACAAAGGAGCAACAATGAGAGGGAGTGAGTGTGAAGAGCAGGACTCTCACTTCATGAGCCTGCAGTCTCTGCAAAAATAGACCTGGAGATTTTACCAAGAGGAGAGACCAAAAATCAGAAAAAATCAGCATAAAAGAGCTTCCAGTTAAGCTAGTAATTCAGATGGCAACAGTTCACGAAACAGATTGAGGGTTATCTGTCAGTTTTTCCTGAAATAAGACCCAGCCAGATACTGAGCTGCGTAAAATAGACCTATTCCTTAGGAATTACCAAAAGGAGAGGACAGGCAACTCCATTCTGTCCTTTTCTCCATAAATGACTTGTCTTACTTCCTTTTTCTGCACTCTTACTCCCAGACCCACTAAAAACACCAACATCCTAGATGACTGCTTGGGCATCCAAGGCAATGGCTATAGAAATACCTGATTCACAGCCCATCCACCCAGGATGACTACATAGGAAAGCCCTCCTACTGGGTCTCATCTCAGTGAAGTGGACTCAGAAAAGAGAGGTGGCCAGGTGAGGCCTGTCAAGTTCTCTAGAATTGCACAAGATCAGAGAATGGAACTTCAGGAGCCTGAGAATATCCACAGGCACTGTAAAGCTGCTTGTTACAGGCAGGAAGAACAAGAAATGAAGGGTAGTACTGGGCTTAAAGGACAGGTGAACATCCCTAAGGGATTTCATGATGTCTACCTGGAAACCTAAGTGGAGAGAGAGAAGTGAATGAGGTAATAGCAGAAAGGTGAGGTTTAGACAAACAGCTCACAAACAAAATATTGATGGGCTCTTGGTTTTCAAACATAATACTAAAAGAAGAAATAAAAGGCATGGGAGAGATGAAAGGAGAATGCACCAGAGTGCACACACAGCCTTCTCTCTTGTTATTTCTACCAAATAAACCAGAAGAAGAGATAATTTAGTGCCTCCATTTAACCATCATTGGCAATGTTAATGTGAGCAGTCAGTGAGTATTATAAAATATGTTTCCAGTAACTGGAGTTGATATGACCTTGGCAGAGTTACTTAACAATTCTCTACCCTTTTTTTACCCAGAAACTGCATCCCCTTGATTCCTCAAGTCCTTCTCAGTAGTTTTAAGAGATTTTTGAACCTTAAAAAGATATTTGTAATTAAATATAGCAAACATATCAATGTTACAAAAAGGACTAAGAGTATGGAATAAATTTTGATGGGGAGTTTTGTTACCACCTACTCTGCTGGCCATTCATATGAATTAGATAAATAGATAGACAGATGATAGACACTGTCATTATAGAAAAAAATTCTCAACTCTATGGATATATTTTAAAATAGTAATTATATTTATTTATTTATTTATTTGTTGTAATTGGACACAATACTTTTATTCCATTTTTTTTTATTTTTATGTGGTGCGGAGGATTGAACCCAGGGCCCCGTGCATGCTAGGTGAGCGCTCTACCACTGAGCCACAATCCCAGCCCCTAAAATAGTAATTCTTTTTAAAACATTTCTTTAGCAATACATAGACACAATATAATTATTTTGTTAATTACTTTTTTAAATGTGGTGTTGAAGATTGAACCCAATGCCTCACATGTGTAAGGCAAGCACTCTGCCACTGAGCCACAACCCCAGCCCCATAAATAGTAATTCTTATAATTTTTATAAAAATATAAAGCTATAGGTCAAAGGGCAGTAATTAATTTAAAACATACTTTTTAATATAAGAAAAGAATGGATAGCATAAAGGAGTTCATTCACATACACTCTGCCATTATTCATATCATAGCCTTTTGTAAAATTCAATACTCAATACAAGATTCAGTCTAATCTCATTTAGATCTATATGTATAGAAACTATAATCCAAAGGAAAGTATGAAAATTATCAGTTACAGGAGACAGAAAAATCTTCCCAGAGATTGTTTTTTGGCATTTCCTGATAAAACACTTGTACAAACAACTCCTCAGGAGTCTTAAGTTTTGTTGAAACAGCCTCAAATTCAGAATCTGCCAACCTGCAAATAGTGAACTTTTTGGGAGAGCATGGGAGAATAGTTGGAGGGAGTTGGAATTACTCAGGAAAACACACTTGCTAATGGCAGGCTGGGGGCCAGTGTTCCTGAGAAATTAAACTCAAGAGTTTAATGCACTGTCTTCATTTATGTTACTGCCTCCAGGTTTTTGTAGCTTATCCAAAGCACATCTATGGGTCTGCTGGCCCCCCACATTGAGCACTTGCTGTGTGTGGTGTGTTCTTGAAGGGTTTGGGGAAATGAAGCAATATTTACAACAGTGGTCAAAAACAGGTCAAGAAGGCCTGGGTAGTAAAAGAGAAAACTTTAATTTCTTTTTCTTGGGTCTTAGGCAATCTAAGATTGAGTTTCTTAGCTTGCTGTGGTGAAGAAAGTTGGCATCTGTATTATGAAAGCAGGTTGAGAGAAAAACAGTAGGACTCCCAGAAAGTGTTCCCCAATCATGTTGTACTGTGTATCTAGCTATATATTTATCTCTGGGTTTCTTATTTACTATTTTCTTATTCCATGACTATGTCTTTAAATATCAAACATTTTTAATTTTGCTACCAAAACATGTAGTGGAGGGTCTTTTTATTTTTGCTATAAAAAGATACA